AGTCCTTCTAATTCACATAAACCGTTTCAGAGGGTTCATCTACTCTGGAAAAAAATCGTGCCCAGATGAAATATTTCACTCTATCCCTCAGGTAAACATATTTACGCCGCTTTAATGTTTCCAGTAATAAAGTTAAAACATTGTTCAGGCTGGATCAGAGGTTCTCTAGGACAGAAATCGGTGTGAAAGCATAGCGCTTGATTTAAATGTGTGACAGTTGCGCTTGAACAACTTTACTCTTTAAGCGATTTCATATTTAGAGGGAAACCACTTGAATAATCCTCCTCTCTGGCCTAATTACTGTACGTGCTGGATGGTAAGCGCTTTTGTTTTCACTTACATCTGCATTTGAAACTGAGTTTTGTTCGACAGATATCTCGTTCGTTTAACTGGGTGGCGATGGAGAACCACGATTGAAACGAGGAACTGTCACTTTTTGTGCATGACATTTGCTTGTCTATTCATTTCAAGTCCTCGAAGCTGTTTCAGAGTTGGCTTCCTATTGAAAACTTTGAACAACATAAAAAAGGCGTGACTCACAGGGATCGCGTTTAAATTCCATTTATGATGTGTTCAAAATGTTTTTTCCTTTGTTTGCCCGGCGGGGAAAATATTCGGCTGTGTGAAGAAATTTATGGGCAACATTGTATCGGTGTGTTTCCCCAACCGCAGCCCAAACTGTGGTATATTCAGGACATGACACTTACCTAACATTGAGAGCACGATTGGCCTGATTAGATCAGACATTTAGACGAGGGTCGAGGAGAGTGCGAGTGTTAAAAGTGTGAATTGGGAATCGCGGTAACGATTACCTCCCTTCAAGTAGTCGGACTAGTGACATTCAGTTCTGTGCGACGGAACGGAGTAGATGATTCGCCTTTTTGAAAACGTTTAGTCCGAATCTTCCTCCCTGGCGGAAGTTGCACCGATTCTGGAAACAAGGTATGCGGTAATTTTAACAACGTACACTAAATCAATAGTGCAGGGACAAACTACTGATATTTTTTGTCAGAAAAGCCTTTGCATCGAATGGAACTTCAAAGTCTTCGCATGTGTGTGTATGTGTGCTTGTTCGTGTGTCTTGATGCACGCAGTAATCTCAAGCTCAATAGAGTTGAATTATTCGGTCTTAGGGCAGAACACCTTTATGATTAAATTGTAGAAGTTAGAACTTTCTGATTCGGGCTGACCTTTTCAGATCTTTTGGTGCAACTTGTCTTCGCTCATGGTAAGAAGCGATCGATTTGTGACTAAAAAGAGCCGTTTTTCATGGCTTTATCTGTAAATAAAATGTTTTTTTCATTTTACTTCTTTTTATTGAGTAAATAATGATATCAAGTGAGTAATGGAGGATTTGATTCAATTTCAAAGGTGAATTCGCCGTGTATATAACAAATGAAGCATGAGCTGAAAACTAGGAAGCACTACTGGACAGCTGTTTCGACCTGGTTTGGTCTCATCCGGAGTGCGAATCCATCGACCTAACGGATCAGCTGCCCGGTGACCGAGTGGGTAGCATGGTCGCGTTCTGCCCATGAGGTCCCGGGTTCGATCCCCATTTGGGTCGATGGATTCGCACTGCTGGAAACAGCTGTCTAGTTGTGCTTCCTAGTTTTTCAGTTCACGCTTCATTTGCTATATACACGACTAATTCACCTTTGAAACATAATGATATCATTTTCAGGAATGGGGAGTCGGTCAATCAAGGGATTGCCACTCAACCCAGATAGTGGTGGTGGGATTGGAATACACGTCTCCCGAGGCAATAATTTGGTGACGTGACCGCTGGGGCACCACCGTCAATCGAGAGATAAAGCCAAGCCAGTTCACTCATTGAATTACTTTGCATGATTATATGAACACATCAGACAACATTCACGTTCATCCACTAGTGTTGAGAAGTCAAAATGCTCGAAACTTCGTCGAGCTCAAACTCGCACAATTCATAATGAGCAGAGTGAAAAACTTTGAGAACGGAAGATAATCAATTTCAGCGGTTCGCATTCTATGATGCCATTTGTTGAGCACCATACCTGGAATGTAATTCTTGGTCCCTGTATAAAGACCACGTTTTACTGCAGCGTCAATGTGCTTCATTGACGCCAACAAGCCGATGGGAAATTGAAAACATCTTAGGAAGGCATTGTTGGCAAATTAGTTGTAGCAACTTTGAAGCCAAAGTATCATTTGGTGAAAAGTATCGGGTTTCAGTTTTCCCAAAGCACTTGTCAAGCAAAAACCTCATTTAACTATCTCAGGAGATGCGTTATTTCCTGTTCGGATCAACAGAATCCTGACGAGTGCTCTTTTATGAGATGTTCTAGCAAAGCTATTAAATTGCGAGTATTGTTCTGACTTTGTATTGAATAGGAATATCAGATTGACTTTAACTCCCTCAAGCTTTGTTTGGTATGTGATGATGTCCCTCATGAGCACTTTGCGTCCCGTATTGCAACTCCACTGTGCAAGGCTTTTAAACGTTTTTCACTTGAAATCTTATTTGACTCTTCTCATCCTCCACACACGAAGTGAATCTTCTCCCCATTTACCCACATGCATGCATGCACGGAGGCTGGTAATCGTTCTGTTGTTCCTTCATAGGTAAACTTCTTACTAATTCAAAACTGGTTGAGTTTGATCCGTGCAAGATGTTATTCTAAACAGATTATTTTTTCTTTGCAGTATTGTTGTTCACTATTTGTGTGATGTATAATAGTTGTGGGGCTGTTTAATATTCACAGTCGAGGTGCCTAGAGCGATTACTTCATTAAATCCCCATGATAGTGTACCATCTTGCTACCTCCCGATGAAGGACAGTGTCCAGGAGTGTTAATTGTCTGCTGTCTTCTAACTGCTTGTGTTGTAAGGTATCACTCTCATTTGTAACTAGCGTACGCGCACAAAAAGCAGATGTTGGATTTTTATGGCTTCTGCATGTGAATCAAAGTATTCATTATTGTAACGACAGAAGAGCTGTGCAGATTATCTGGCTAACGATCGCTGATGAAGAGACGTTCGCAAAAATATTGACCAACTGCTGCAAATTAGATGCTTCTTTCTGTGTTATTTAACCCTGTCCTATGCTGTTCTCTGAATATATGACTCTCCTGGACCCAGCACCGGATTTGTGAAACTATCACACTTGGAATAATTAAACCGTCTTTTTTTTTCTTCGACGTACTGTATAGAATTTTTGTCACTAATATTGCGAAGTTGCGCAGACATATAATCAATTCACTGTGGGTCAAAAACGGTTTCTTGCTCGGTTAACGCAAGATTTTTTCGGTTACAGCCTTCAGTATTTCTTCCAATATTATCCACGGTGAACTTTCTTTGATCAATCCAATAACCTATCTATAGCAGTTTTTATTGAACTTTATTAGTTGGTGTGCAAACGACGAGTAATTTTCAGCGGTGAGACAAAGATTATCCTCTTTTCAAATTAAATCTTTGTTTAGTATTCCCCCCAATGGGATCGTCGCACATAAAAGTCATGTGATTCCTGTCAATCCTCATTTACATCGGCTTCCTTGTTTTCAGTAAACTCTAATTATTTCAGTCATCTTGTCAAAGAAACGGTGATTCTGACAGCCTGGAGATGATGATATCCGGAAAAAACTCAACCGATCCGCATAGTGCTTCGCGCAAACTAGTGACATTCATGAATAACGTCGTTCTTCTCGTCGTCCTAAGTTTTACCCTTTTTTATTCGCACATAAAATCAGTGCGATTGATTAGTAAATCGACTTCAGATGTATGATCTAATAATATACGTGGTGCTTTGAGTAAAGAAAACAAAACAAGTCACTGTATTGGTCTGATCCTTAAGAAGACATAGTACATAGGAGAATGGACAAGGTGTCCTTTATGCCCCCCCTGCCCCTGCCCCCAAATGCTTTCACGGAGTGCGTCTTTTGAACCACCTGCTGGCGATTGTATATTGACTAAAGTACAAGGGCACCGAGACGATGGCTGGGTTGATGAAACACGGTGGGCTACTTCATTTAGATGAGCTTGAAAATCCACGCTCATATGTAGGCGTAGGAAGTAACACTAGGACATACTGGTCACAAGAGACATCGATGATAGGGTGTGTTTAGTGGTTTGCGTTTTATCTTCCTTTATTTCCCCAACACTGGTTACGGTAACAATGTTTTACAATACCCCCGCCCCATAAAAGCACATGCACGTGCAACTCACACCATGCCTGGTCATGCACAGTCAAAAGCACGCTCATGCATCACTCGTTTTGATTCACACCAGCTTCCCCTTTGATCAGAACAAAACCAGCAACAGAGTAAACATTAGGATAGGAATAATACTGGGCAGAAGAGCTACATAATTTGCGTCAGATAAATCTTGGGTGTGCAAACCGTGTTCTTTGTACGAAGCAGTACAAGTAAATTTGTTGTCAACCTAACAGCAAACTGATCTGCATTCCGAATATGACATGCTTTCAGCATATTTTGATTCTGAAATTATTTCAGGGGATGAAACAGTTCACCCAGGATTCAGGGACGAATCACCGTAAACAAGTCTTGTTCGCCACATTGTGTTTTATCCACAATGTGCGTTGGTGGTGGTGGTCCATTGGGGCAAGCCCAATCGTCAAGTTTGCAACCAGTATGGGAAGGGTTCGAGTGCAACCCAGTTAGTTAGGTGCACTAGTTCGAATTTGAAAAAAAAACCGTAATAGCAACGACTGTTCTAAAGAGATTTACGCTCTCAATTGCATTGGTGGTACCCTACCAGGATTACCTAAATGGCGTACTATACGCTTCATTGCACTGGAGTTTAATACGAGAGGGAAAATGATGTGAGCGAAAAATCTTCCAAGAATTAAAAAATAACAAGAATGACAAATGACTACAAGCAATGCATTCCACGAAGTTGTAAAATCACAACCATCAAAGGGGTTATTTGCGTTTACATGCGTAATGATAACCAAGTCAAATAGGATAGAGAATGTACTACGCCCGTTTGGTGGGTGATCCATATCACTACTCCTCTTCTGATGACAATGAGATCGCATTACGATTGATCAACAACAGAGTCATGTCAATCACTTCCGTATTTAATATGACCGTACCCAAAGCCACAGCCATGATGAATAGATAAAGCATGAAGAACAGGCGATCAACCACAAGTGCAAGAGTGCGCCATTCCATTGCAATTTCATCTCGTTCACGGGTCACTGTTTGTCTCTGTTTGAAACAGGAAATGTCTTGATTTACTCGACACGTATCCGCGTAGATTGGTTGAATTGCCCCGATCAGGAATTCGCTTAAATCCTGTTCAGCATCCATCATCATTGTTCCACCTGTCCCCCTGGAAACGGTCATTTCGCCCGGAATAAGTAACTTTGAGGAGCACTTTCTATGACGTATTTCGGTTTCCGGATTCGTTTCTATTTTCTTCATCAGTGTGGTTGAACTATGAGCTGAAATTTGGGCACCTTCCACCGATTTTGCTGCCGTTTTACCTGCTTCCACATTATCTTGGCGTTTTATTTCAGCCAGAGGAATATATTGACGCAACCATAGCATCCGTCCAAATCCGTCAATGAACAACTGAAATTGATAAGTGAAAATTTAGTTTTGTAAATCTGCTTTCCGATGAAATTTTGACTGGTGTAAAACCGTTGTGAGGAGTACTCGCAGGTCATTACGACTGTCTATGCATTGTAAAAATTTACCTAACTCGGATGATCAATTTAGCGACTACTCGTCTCCACTACGGCTGGATCCGTTGTGGGAAATGCACTTTGATGGGACAAAAAATTGGCAAAAAACTCTGATCACTGTGTGATGTAATGAAGACCCCATATCATTTTGATAAACACTGCGTACCAATATAGAATATAAACGCTTTAAAAACTGTGAACCTGGTTGAATAAAAACCGGACTACAGTGGAAAAAATCTCTTGGCTATTGGTTGTTCATCAGAGGTGTTCGGAAACATTTGAAAATGACCAACTACATATTCCATTTTTCCATAATTCAAAATTCATTTCATTGAATAAACAAAATTAATATTGATCTATACTCCACTCAGAGTGAGAAGCGGAAGATTGTATTTTTCGTCCATCACAGTCAGACGCTTTCTAAATCAAATTAGACAATCCTACTATGGATAGCCTAATAAATCATGTTCAGATAAATTCTCATCACTGGTCAGCTGGCACATGCGGTTACACGTGTGGGCTTTATTACAGATTTCTCCACCGAATCAACCGATTGACAATGTGGACTGACTGCAATCGGCTACTGTTATGCGCATCTTTGCATTTAAATCAAATGAACCAACCCAGATCGGTATGCATACACTACTACGCGGTTGATCTGAAAAGAGTCTCCACAGTTACATCCCACCCACCACCTTTGTACAGCGCATAACGATCTAAGAACATACGGTATTAACTTTCTTGAGAAATTCGCACAAGCCCTCGCAAATTTGATCGTTCTCGGTGTTATTCGAATGAAGTTTTTGACAATAAAATAGTCCTTTTGTAAAAAACGAGACCCGAAAATTCGAAAATAAACATATCAATAACAAAACTCCTCTGAACGAATTCATTCACGGTGCTCATTTATATAGACACTGCCCAAAGTTGAATGTAGATTATTATGAACCAAGAGAGGGAAAAAGTTTATCTTTATCATTCTAATTGCAAATCAGCTTGCAGAAAGTTTAAGTGAAATCACCTTGCCCGCTGGTTGAACCGTGAAGAAACGAGAACAAAAAAAGTGATTCCTGCCAAATTATCCTAGTGAATCGATACTCGGTGAATGTTCTTTAGGCTTTTGGCATCGTTAATCATACGGTTTGATTGCTATCAGACTGACTCTGGTTGATCATCCCACAAGCGATCGAGATGTCTGCAATCGAAACACTGACTTTTCTCCTCTCTACGCCTACAGGTAGTACGGGCTACGAGTGAAGAAACTGTGCACTGCACCTCACCCCTGTACCCCAAAGGATGCATCAACGGCCCAACCAAAATGTTCACCATATGTTGACACATACCGAACCCTCTGTGCGTAGTCTGACACGTGGTTTAAACTAAATAGAACACCACAAATTATCGCGCATTTCAGTATAGCAGTCACTTTCGAGAGTGGTGGTCTGGATATACAGTAAAGGTCTCTTGTTGGGAAGCCATGGTTTTTCGGTCGGCTTTTTAGAGCCACTGGGAGCAGCAACTCGTACAAGGTTTGAGTATGATAGTCATCTGCTCTATTTTCTTTGAAAATTATCAGCTAAGATTGTTCATCCGAAAAAGAAATCACGGCCCAATGAATGACAAATTCCCACAGTTAGATCGATAACTAGGGGCCACCTTGGTCTTAAACAGATCAAGTAAGTAATACATGAGTCCACCAGGGTCATCAGCAGTAAACTTTCCTCTTCATTGACCATCACACGTTTTCATTCAGAACTTCAGTTGATGTGCCTGCTATGCTAAACAACTCGGTTATCAATATGATCGGTTGTTGTCCGTGTCCATGATGCACCCCAAAAACCCCTTTTCAATGATCCATATAAATTTGTCACATTTGGTACATCCGTTGAAGCGGAATGTAGGTGCTCTTAAGTGAATGATTGGACAGTTTTCATCTGCTGCGTTGGTGTTTGTTGGCTACAAAGTTACGAACGATCCTCGGGGATCGATGAATGTTTGCGTTAATCTTGTGAATGCCAATGTCCCGGTCTTTGTAGGTGAGCATTTCTTCTAGTTCCAGCTCAGATGGTCTTGACTCGCGTACCGTTTATCTGTTTGACAGATGACAGTTCCATGAACTCCACCAAGATTCATCACTTTGGTGATCGCTGCTGACTTATCGTTTGGTGATGTGACTATTATTTAGCAGGGAGCGACCGGACATCTCTCGAAATACAGTACTGGCTGATTGTGATGCACTAAAATATTTTCCTTATGATCAAATGGAGTTTCATTATATTTATTACTTATATCAATGCTTTAGGTATGAGCAATAGTTTATATCTTGTCTACTTCGATCTACGTAGTTTCTAGGCTGCATGTTTGTCCATTAAACGTGCCTGACCTTGAGTGCCAAGATTGGGTGATCTCAACTTGAAAACCGCAAACTTTATCGAGTATGAAAACACAATATTTACTAATAGGAATGACTCCAGAATTATCCTAAACTATTTACATAAACCCTTGACACCTCGGTTCTTCGTTATGAGGCATCATGTTATCTAATATATAATCCATTATAGCAACTCTGTTGGATAACCAAACGTATTTCTCTCATAACCCTGAGAAGTTGCATTAAATAAGGTTTCATAATAATAATCTGTGTCTGATATCTAAATCCAGAAATACCATTTCAATCAAAGTCAACCTTGAAATCAAGGTCATTTTTGTGCACAGCTTTGAATGTTCGTATTGTTGTCCCAATAATCAAGCAAGCAGCGCTCGAAACCAAAAGTTCTCGTTATCTCAGCGAAGAGGACAGAAACAGAATTGTGCGAGCACAAAAGCTGGTATTTCTGATACCAAATCTTGCCCAATGGTTTAACGTTAACAAGAGCACAATTTACAGGATAATCATTCGTAGTGGGAATTTCCCAAATGAACTCATTCCACCAAATGAAAGAGTTTCTCACCCGTTGAGATTACTCATCTGGGCAGGGATAAAACATGGTCAGCCTTGTCGGTGGACATCAGTCAAAGGCACCATGAATAGTGGGAAATTTGTATCAGTAATAACGAAAAGGTTTCCAAAATTTCATGAAAAAATCGTCTGGGAAAGTTATCATTTTTCAGGATAACGCTCCGTGTCTTCTTTTACGAGAGGTTTGTAAATTTATTTAGTTGGGGATTCGGGTTCACTTATTAAAAGATATGTGACTCAAAGGTCCAGTTCGTTCAACTTCCTCCTAATGGCCCGAATCTCAGTGTGATGGAAAATCTGGTTTCTGTTTTGAAGAGAGAGGTCAATGTGCCACCTGCGCATTGGACATGGGAAGCAAAAATGCGCTACGTAATGGAGCACAAAATAGAAAATGACTTCATAACAAAGTTGATGGATTCCGTGATTCCGTAGAGACACGAAAATGTCCTAAAGAACAAAAGCAAACCAATCGACTTTTATTGTACACAAACTTTACATCTTAATTATCATCAATGGTAATTTGTTGTAGATGAAAACCGTTCCATTCTCTCTAGCTACCTCTTAACTCACCATGGTCTAGGTCAACGAATACTGACGAAATGAGAGTATCCACTACATTCTGAACCATTCCATCTGCTGAGTATAAACATATCACGTCTATAAAGACTCACCATGGCTCGGTTATTATTATTTGGAAAAAAAATTTCACTTCAGTATAAATGCTGTTGCCTATAGGAACCCACAAGTGTTTCACAGGGATCCGTTGCTTCAGTTTCGATTAGACCTGTATATGACGCATGCCTGAATCATGTGTATCACGTGACATGCTAAGGTTTGCATTTTCAGGACGGTACTTCGAATGAGGTTAACTTTCAGTTAGACGTACGTCCCCATATTTCAATTCTGTTTTGCCATATCTCGTAGGTTTGCCTGATTATAAGTTGAGCGTTTCCACAGAAATACATAATTGCTTACTTCAATGAAAAATCCGTATATGATAATTTCATTGTAATTTGACCTGGATTTGTAAGTTTGCTGTAAGTTTGGTGTAAAATGCCGAAATTGTGCCCACCTGGGTGCCCCGAGCTACTACTGACCGGAATTGATTTGATGTGATGTATATTGAATTGGCCAACCCCATCAAGCCAACAAGCCCCATTTTTGTTTTATCATTTGTGTCTTAGACCCATACCACATTAATGAATTGAAAAAGCTGGTCTTATCGCACACTATCCGCATTCTCGGGCCACGGAATGTCCAGGTGATTAAATGGAAATACTAATGAATAGTCACTAACTACCGTCCAGCGGAAAAACCAGACTTTGGTCTGCATGTTTGTCTAACACTAACTAGCTCCAGGTTTGATCACCATAAAAAACGTTTAGGTAATTACTGTGGAGTGAAAGAGAGCAAGGCCAAACAGGTGTGACTACGGTAAATATTTCTGGATTTCATAGAGTTAATTGACATAACAGATAAAATATATAAAAGACCAACTGATTACTGAAACCCTATTTGAAGGGTCCTCATAGGATCAAACAGTCGTACAATTCAGCAAACTTACGCGACGGACCCAAACTGGCAGTGGACGTCCGGCTTGGCCCCGATAGAATAAATTCACAACAATTGTGGCCAGATACGTGGACAGTGTGATCATAACCATGTTCAGACAGAAAAAGACACCTGGAAAGGGAGATAAGACAGTTGCAAAACTAAATAGGGAAGCCACACGTGACTAAAAGGTTTAGCAAGAAGAGGTCTACTACTAACTTAATGATATATCTGAATAAATGATGCATACATAATAATAATAATCATAATCACTATTACATATCTGCTCCATTCATTGTTCCTCCTGGTTTATGACATCGCGACTGAGCTGTTCAAACATCTATGGAAATCATCGAAATCAAACCATATTGTTTCTACTGATGAAAATTGCAAAGAGTGAACACACTCACCAATCAGTGGGAAATTCTTCACAGCAGTTGGCATGGACTCAGCCAAGAGTAGAAGCAGAACGAAAAAGGCCACAAAAATATTTATTCCTGCATTATCACATATGTGACAGTGTGTGTATGCGTGTGTGTGTTCGAGGGGGACAGATTAGAGAGGACAGAGATCGTAAAAGATAAAGTGCTTTTTTGTAAGTGATAGAAAAATACGACAGGCCAAAATGTAAGGAATATGAACCATGGATTATTTTGTGCTGTGACAACCGACAAAGAGCACTGGATAGCCGTTTGGTCCTTGTTGGGACTCTTCAACAGGGAACGCTAGTTCTGTGCCCTGAAGGGAACAGTCCGGATGGGATGTGGCAGATATACACCGACAATGGTAGCGTAAAAAGTGGTTAAGTTATACCATCACTAATGTGGAAGCCTCAAAAAAGTGTACAGAACACTATCAATCAGCTGATTGATTAGGGGAATTTCCGGACGTGTTCTGAGCTGGTTGTCTTCAGCCTCACTCTCGTCAAGGTACCATTATTTAGGTGCATTCAACAACGGTCGTCAGATATGCCTGAAATTTCTGGATGGCGATAGATTATTCGGTGCATGAATTCTCACCCAAAGCATGTTTGGATCGAGGTATCTTTGTGGTCTCCGTTTAAACTTCAGTATAACCGAAATGCACGCTTCATTTCATTATAAAAGTTGATTTAAAAATAAATCACTTTAAGCGTTGTAGACACACCTCATGAACCGAATGTATGCTTTGGATATTGTTACACATACAGGCTACCATATCGGTGTTCAGGTGTTCGCCGAGGTGGAAGTGTTGTTTGCAGAGTGAATCTTCGGAGAAGCAAGGCAATAAACTTAAATCGTATATAACAACCCACCGAATTCAGTGAATCAAAGTCAATCCGGAGACAATGATGCAGTGCACGGGGATTCTATACAACGTCGTCTTTTATTCATCCACGTGAATGCTGTCGAGCATCAAAGCGGGTCGGATTACCTGATCATGGGTGGTCGTTGACGGAGGGACGGTCGAGATTAAAAACTAAATGTGAGGTAAAAGTACCATGTGATTAAACTAGTAGAAGCTAGTGGTTAACGTTGTAACTGCCAATCATGTTTAGCATTAAAATTCTGAGTGAACGAAAGAGGTGATCATGATTTGGCAACCAACAATTTGGTTGATCAAAACGTCAAATCTGATCAGTTTTTCGGAATCATAAGAGATGCTCGCATGAAAGATAAACGCAGAAAGATACATAACTGTGGAGCTCTTTACTCGTTAATTTTTTAGCTGAATATTTGGATGGTGGTGGTGGTACTCAAACTGGTTAAGTCATTAGCATTTGGGGTGCTTTGGGCTCTAGGGTCCGAGATCCGAACCCCGGTACATCCACTCAGCTTTGGTGGTAGCTAGGTTTGCTGTATCCCAGGTCAGTCTAACGCTTTTACTAGCAGAACCTTCTGTGGATCATCACTCTAAATTCTGGGGCTTTGAGGGAAGGCTCTCATTTTTATAATTCCAGAAGGCGGTGCTGGTCCAGAATACTTGTTTCTTGAAGATTTCAGATGGGATATCATCAATTTGGCATACATAACACAAAAATCCGCGCAACGGGTAATGAATTTAGAAATCAATAGTTCTTCTCTGAGACCCAGCAAATTGCCCTCAGTGATCTTGTTTATTTTGGTCGTTGAAAGTAATCACCAACTCATGAGTGAACAGTACACCCTCGTGACTGTAGTGCGTCTCATGAAAAATCCTCACACGTGATCAAGTGTGTGTCTCGGTGAGTGCGTGTAAAG